TCCTGACTTTGTAGCAAAACAACTGACTCCTGCATGAAAGCTCATCGAAGGAATTCATTTGTTTAGTCAATTACCAAAATTTGGATGATTTTGAATATTCACTTGAAAAGTTATCAAAGAAAAACATTTTTCATTTCGTAACTTCGAGGGCCTGTTACTTGGTAACGAAGGATTTTAGGAAAAAAAGTTATATGAAGTACTGGTGATAGTTTGACCCCATCTATACATTCCCGAGAGAAAAAGAGGAAGTCCAGGGACACCCTGTAGATCCCTTGGCAACACCAGCGTTAATGGTGAAAGTATTCGAGAGATATCCATCGAAAGCCATTTGCAGGAAGCTGAAGAGCCATACACAAAAATGATCCGACAAGCCAAAGCACCGAAGACTGGCTAGCAAACCCTCATGCTATACAAGGTCAAAGGCCTTAGGAATATCAAGCACAACAGCTCTTGATTCTCCATGTTTTTCGATTGCGTTATTCCAAATATGAGTGACATACGATAGAACGTCGCCTGTTGATCTTTGTTTCCGAAAGCCATATTGATGATCGCAGAAGATGTTGAAGCCTGCCAAATATTTGAGGATATGGTGGTTTATGACTTTCTCCATGATTTTTGATATCACTGATAGTAAAGCGACTGGTTTGAGGTTCCAGCATTTCCTCTCGCTTTTGATAAAAATAGATATTCCAAAGTTACGTCTGAATCGGGAGTGGAAATCATAGCCGGGATATAGAAACTTGATGGGGTTTGTTGAAGCACTGACTTTGGTTTCTGTAAGTGCAAGAATATAAGGACTATTTGATTGCAGATGTTGGCGCACTGATTTTATATTTGAGTTGAGTTATCTGATGTTGTAAAAATCGATTTTGAAGTTGCTAGTGGGCCTCCAAGCAACTGCAGTTACCGTGCTATTTATCTGTGGAATAATGTTAGGAACACCCTGCTGACTGTCAGAAATAGTGGTTTTTGAATAACTCCTGCAGGATGATGCCTTTGAATCAGCCCCCACCCGGAGATCCCATTGGGGAGCTATTTCACCTCCGGAGTATTTTTACCCTAGTAGCGCCATCATGCATTTTTCGTTATATTCCCATAATACAATTGTCTTGCATCTAGTAATTACGATTTTTTATAGTGTATCACTAGTATATTTTGATCTCTTAGATAGCATCAGTTTTAGAAATCGTTACTCAATGATTTCAAGAGAAGTGATGTGACTTTTAGTCCGAGTAGCCCATAAGAGATACGACTTTCCACAAGACTGTGATATATTATCTTTTTTTGTTTCAGGTCAAGAATATAATTCAAATGTCAGAATTTATAAAGAACAAATCGTAGTTTTTTCAGAATAAAGTTAATAAGATGGTCCCATTTTGAATGTATATCTATAACTATTTCAAAAAATTTGATTTTATTTGCCAACATTATTCGTGTATTGGTTTTCAGAAATAGAGAATCAAATTTCGGCATTTTTGTTGCTTTTGATTAATTTTGTTCACTTTTGTTCACTTAGTATGTTGAAATAATTGATCATGGTTTGTTTATAAAAAAAAAAACGATTTTGACATTGACAATAATTTGAAAGTTATTGAAATAAAGATATTGACTTGAAACGTTTGTTTCTTGGTTTATTTCGACTTTAAATCAAAGGAAATCACAGTAAGACTGACTAGTACGAACAGGCATTTTTGTTTCGTAATTAGTGAAAAAAAACTTTTATCTACAGTGTGACCCATTTTTAATGGAAACATCCTCCTAAAATTTGAAGTTGCAAACAGATTTTAATAATTTATTTTTGAAATGTCAAGTACTAAAAGGTCTACCTTGGGACAAATTTTTGAAATGTTTATTATATTAGAGTTTTAGGCCATACTACGATATTTTTTCTTAGTCGAAAATCGAGATTTTTTATTAGCGATTTTTTATTGAAAAAATCACTACGCCATTGGATTCAGAGTGCCTCTAAACAGGTGTGACCAAAATTTCATGAAAAAATATTCATTATTAACAAAGTTATGACAACTCAAAAATTCGAAAACTCACACAGCTAACAGTCACAAAAAACACCCTATATCAACAGATATAGCCATGAGAATATTTTTTTATGATTTCAATAATAAAGTGCCGCCAGATGAAAAAAAAACAAATAGCGTAAATATTTTTAATGAAAATAACGGAATTACATTCAAGTTTTCACGCAAATTAACTAAAACTAAGACCTTACATTTCAGTTTAAATCTTAGTTGACATGGAAATGATATTACAGTTTGACACTTGTGAAAGATTTAAGTGTACTATTGTCAACAATATTCACCTTACAGATCTTCGAATTATTTTGTGTCATGGCTGCAAGATTGAGCGCAAGAGAGAAAATTGAAATTGTACGCCTTTCGGGAGATGACGTTGGAAGTGCTAGAGAGGTTTGTAGAGTATTTAATGAGAGACATCCAGATCGTCCTCGTATTAGCTGCGGTACTTGACATTTAAAAAAAAATATTAAAATCGATTTACAACTTCAAATTTTAGGGGGGTGTTTCCATTAAAAATGGGTCACACTGTATGTTGACGGTTAGAAGCTTGTCGTCAAAAAAAAACAAAGCGAAATGAAAAACGTGACTTTCAGAATGATTATGCAGACCTTAATAAATCTGCATTACTAAATCAACATTATTATCCTTTCATCAAACAGCTCTTAGTCTTTTGAATGGAAACTGGTTATTTGTTTATTTGGGATCGTGTGGAACAACCTGTCATTATACCTAACACGTTACCTTATATCTATCACCATTTTTTGTGACAAGTGTATTATTTTCTATCTAAATTAAATGTTATGTTGGACAACAAAAATCATTAATTATCATTATTAAAAGTATGTGTGCACTACGACTAGATTTGTATGATCCTAATGAGACCATCTCAAAAACCGAGGTATTTGATATCAGTTTATCTCGGAAATTTTTAAAAAGTTACAACTTTTCCGTTTACTTGACTGGGTACTAAAAATAATGCCGTCTTTACTCACCAGTATGTATTCTGAGGTGCATATTGTACGCCACCCGTTGATTGAACCTCTTTGGACAATGTGGACACGCATATTCCTTTTTATCTCTGTGGATCTTCATGTGACTGGACAGGTAGCCCTTGTCGTTGAATGTTTTGCCACATTCCGAACACTTGGCAGCAAATTCTTTAGTGCCTTCGTGGACAGATCTATAAATATAAACGTTTAATTTTTAATGTGTGACTCCAGTTGAGAACGAGTTAGTATGGAAGGTATGGAAGGGGAATATTTTAGCAACTTACTGATGCGAAATGAATACATATATGATATCATATATAACTAGAATTAAAAGTTCAACAATTTATTCAGGCTAGTCTCTGCTTACACTGTAGGTTGATGGATTGACACCTATCAGAAAACAACTATTCTCCTGGCTAAAACCACGAAGGGCGTTATATTATATCCAATAGGTGTCAGTCAGTGCAAGAATCTTCACAGGAGTATTTCCTGCATATGCTGTTGGCGATACAACTGCTGGAATCGATTTTCAATCAAGTATAGGAACGGGCATAATTTGAAAATCGAACATCAGTGATACTAGTGACGTGTTATAATAAAACGCAACTGACAGCTCACATGGGTGCTTTACTGAAGAGTGTACTCTTCTCACCAATTCCCATTTATTTTATTATATATCAATAGCATTTAATTTTTTATACTCAATAATTTTGTATCAATTTTGAAATCCTAAATCGCTCATTCATTAACTGTTTGGCGGAACGACGTTCCCGGGTCCGCTAGTCTATATTAAATACTTAAAACGACAATTGTATCAATTTTTATAACAATTTGACAGATATTCTAAAATGTGCATTTTAAAAAAAGTATCCAATTTAATTGTATTTATGGCTCAGTATTTTGCATATAGTGGTTACCACATAACAGGTAGATATATGCTATCGTGGACTTTTATTCAGTTCTATTTAGCATAAACAATTTTACGGTACATTATTTTCATGTAACTCCAACGGTATAGGCAGCGCACGCCAAAATAGCTTTCAGGGAGCAAGAATTTCTCCGACTTAGTTAATACTAATCGTTATATTATGACCAAAATTACACAAAACATTTGTAAATTGTAGCCTATATGTTATTCTGATGTATAAGCTGTATCTATGTGAAGTTTCATCTAAATCCGTTCAGTCGTTTAGGCGTGAAAGAGCCACAAAAAAAGCAATTTATTTCCAACAAGAGTACCCATACAGGAAATGCTTTTCTTACAGAGTATATATGAAATAAATATTAAAAAAAAATGGAATATATAAATGTATAAAAGTAAATGCCAAAACAAAGTATATATAAAATATTCGTATAAGTAGAATTTCAAAAGAGGAATGAAAAATTGATTATATAACACAAAAAGTTACAAATAATGCAATGTAGCAGTACTGACACAAATGTTATTTATAGTATTATTGAAAATGATCGTGGATACAAGATACCAAGGCGTTCAGAGAGTCGAAATAAATATCGCAGTGTTCACAGATTTTATTGAAGCTACTGCACATACAATTCAATGGTGATCGTAGCATAACATTTGTGCGTGATGCTTCGCAATAGAATTTCAGATTGTGTCGACCTTCACTTATTGGTACTGAGAAATTGATCTCGGGTAAAAGAACCGTACTGTCAATATTGTTGTTTAGTAATTTAGGCATGAATTTTATACCAAGGATAACTCTCCTATTTTCCAAAGATGTCATATCAAATCGTGTCAACAAAATGTTATGATCGATGCCTCTCGTGGGGTATTGACCATCAACTTTTGGACATGAGTATTTTAGGAACTTTCTTTGCACGCTCTCAATTGATGTTTTTTGGTAGTCGTAAACTGGATTTCATAACACAGAGCCATATACTCTAACTTAGATCTGGCATACGCAAAATATAGCAATTTTATTTAAGGTGGCAATACTTTTGAAGTTTTTGTCATTTCTGTAAATGAATTCAAGCATCCTATTTGCATCAGCAGTCATATTCCTTATATGTGTTGTAAATAATTCATGTTGTACACGTTGACAGTCAGTAATGTCGTCGATTTTATAATATAGTTCCAGGTCGTCTGCAAATAGTAGGCTAGTAATATTCAAAGAGGTCGCCAAGTCAATAATGAAAATAAAAAATAAAAGAGGTCCAAGATTAGAACCTTGTGGTACCCCAGATGTAACTATGTACTGGGCCGATTTGAAAGTTTCATATTCGACGAATTGTTTTCTGTTAACTAGATATTAGAGAAATTAGAGAAATCAGTTGGTTAGAGAGTTCCAATTGTGTCAATTTGCGAGAAGAACATAATGGTCTATTCGATCGAAGGCTTTTTGAAAGTCTAAATAAAAAACATCGACTTGTTTTTGCTTGTCCAGGTACGTACGGAGATATTGATTTAAACATACACGATTTTTCATACATGACCTTTGTTGTACGAGTTGTTGTTGCTGAGTAGGAGAAATAAATTTTTGAATAAGGGAGTACATAACATTTTACACACATATCTTGAAGAGTTTAGAAAAGTTACATAAAATTCGACAAATTCGAGCCATTTTCCACTGCTCAGGAAGGGCACAAGTTGATAAAATCAAGTTGAATATGCCTATTAGAGGTATAGAGAGAACGTCGATACAGTCCTTCATCACAAGACTAGGAACATTGTCAACACCTGCGGTGAGTTTATTTCTTAATTTTTTTGAAGCAGTAATAATATCGATTTTAGAGAAGGTAGGGATGTTTAATGTATCTAAATCAGTATACACTTCTGAAGTACTTGGCGAATCCATTGACAATATCCCCAGGCTTATTAAATACCCCAGCATCAAGTTTCATTATACCCGGTATACGCGAATGACCTTGTTTACTGTGTATAAAAGACCAGAAAGTCGAGCTGTCAGATAATATATTATTTTCATTTAATTTTGTAATGTGACTATATGCTGCTTTTATTTTAGTTTTGACAGTTTTTCTCAGATCCGAGAATTGATTTTGATAAAATGCATACATACGTTTATGCATACATACAATTATCCATCCTCACTAAATTTCACATTTATAATATTAGTATGAAGTATAGATAGATAGATAAAGAGATGGCATTTCTTTTTAAGTGAAATTTTATATTGATATTGTTTCATATGTTACGTTGCTCATCGTTCCCGTGAATGAAATCTATTTCAATTCCATAACGAATATTTGGAGTACATTGAATAGAACTGGCCGATACTTGATGAAAATTCATATTAAAAAACTAATTAATACAGTTACCTGGAAATGAACAGATTCAATAACGGCGAGTTATTCAATTCAGTTTGATCATTCATAAGATATTGAGAGTTTTTGATTTTGTTTATTTCCATACTCTCCAACAAGTAAGGTTTCAAACCTTTTTTCTCGAAATGGAGGGGCTTGTATTCATGGTTAAACTAATGTCCATCTGTGATCAAATGAGTGGCTTGTGTGGGATTTGTTTTTACATTCTAGAAACTACATTTGTGGTTCTTTAAGCGTGCTTTGAACGCTCTTCCAGTTTGACCTATATAAAACATCGGATATGCCTCACACGATAATTTATACACTTCTGATTTTTCTGAAACTGAACTTTTATCTTTGTTATTTTTAATGTGCATGCCTAAATTGTTTGTTTTGAAAGCAATATTTACACCTTTGCTGAGCAGAAAATCTGAAATATTTGTAGTGGGTTGGCCTAAGTAGATTAAGGTTCTATAACTTGTATCCTCTTCTCTTCGAATTGGGAAAACTTTATTCAAAGCTTGACTGTATAACTTCTTTAATAAAAGAATGTATTAGACCGCTATCGTGATGATTGTTGACGGCTATTTTCTTTATTATATTCAGTTCTTTATTGAAATTCGCTTCTGACAAGGACACATTTATCAGTCTGTGGATCATACTGTTGAAAGCTGCTACCTTGTGCTGATATGGGTGGGTGGACGATATTTGAATGATAATATCTGTATTTGCCGGTTTATGGTGAATTGAAAAACCATGTTTGTTGTTAACTTTCGTTATTGTCGTCCTGTTCCATTTCCATTGTGAATGTGATAGAAGGGTGGAGACAATTGATGAAATTCAAAAATGTTAGTCAACTGTCTGTTCGTTCCTGTCTGTGAAACAAACCAGGATATCATCCACATATCTATACCAATACACGAAACTTCTCACCAGCGGGTTAATGTGTATTTGACCTTTGCAGGATGAGTAAAAAGGTTCATTGAATTGGAAGTAATTTTGTGACAAACACACCCTAAGCAAAATGAAGTATTAAATGAAAAATTAAATATTAGACTTGCCAACCCACTACAAATATTTCAGATTTTCTGCACAGCAAAGGTGTAAATACTGCCTTGAAAACCAACAACAACTTAGGCTTGCACATTAAGAATAACAAAGATAAAAGTTCAGTTTCAGAAAAATCAGGAGTGTATAAATTATCGTGTGGGTCATGTTCGATGTTTTATATAGGTCAAACTGGAAGAGCGTTCAAAGCACGCATAAAATAACACAAATATAGTTTCTAGAATAAAAAAATTAATACCACATATGCCACTCATTCAATCACAGAGGGACATTAGTTCAACCATGAATACAAGCCCCTCCATTTCCAGAAGAAAGGTTTAAAACTTAATTTGTTAGAGAGTATGGAAATGAACAAAAACAAAAACTTTCAATATCTTATGAACGATCAAACTGAATTGAATAATTCGCCATTATTGAATCTGTTCATTTCTAGGTAAAAATAGTAAGGTATTGTATAATCTTGTGGTGCTGGAGTGCCTTGCTGTTGAAGTGGACTGTATTTGAATCGTTATTTCTGTACTCCTATCGCTACCACTCGAATCTGTGCTGGTTCTGGTAATTGAAAATGCTATTGTATATATTTAATGATTGTATATTTTACGGAGTTACAAAAACCAACATTTCTAACTGTCGTTGTTTGACAATCTCCCTCTTCTGTCATCATGACAGTTGTCATAAAACATGGCAGGGGCGTATCATATAAAAAATTCAACATATGTCCACGCCTTAAAAGGTCGTGAACTTTCAAATTAATTGAAAATACAAATGAAATATTAACAATCAAAACAAATCACAATTTTTAACTTAAAGTTCAGAGTCGATTGGCAATAAATATATTTTT